ACACTATTAAAAAAAAAACAACAATGATCACAAAAGTCATTTCTAATACGAAGGTTTGCTGAAACGTTCTTAGTTCAACGAAAAATGATCTTCCCGCCATCAGCATCTTATCCTTAACCCGAATTTGAGAAATAGGTCACTTCAAGAAATTTTGAGAAAGCCCAGTTATGTCTACGACTACATTACTTCTATGACCACTACTGTTGTTAACAACCATATATCGTGCTCGGTATGGCGATAAACTACATCCGACAACAAAACCTCTGATAGTGAAATTGTAACTTTTGAGAATAGAGAAGTCACTTCAAAACTGCTGTCGCTCCTAAGTCCACCCTGACTCGGGGTGTTAGCACATGTTAGGGTCCCAACTATGGGCAAATATTGTACTCCTCAACACAAATCGACCTGAAAGAATAAAATTATGTACAAAATATATTATATAAAATTTACGTTTAGGTAATTAAATAACCGGTAGTGGTTGATATGCCACTAAACAAATTCAATAAACAATAACGATAACAATTAAATTCTCATGTTAATCAGATTTTGAAAAATAGGTTACCCCAAGAAAATCTGGGCAAACCCATGTATATATTTTAGACATTTTGACGGTCGTCTTCGAGTATAGAATCCAGAGGTTAGCAGTGAATATTTCGGAGACAATAGGAAAGCGTAGTTCAGGTTAGCAGTGGATATCGCAGCAAAGTAGCAGAGCGTAGTACTTCCTTCTGTCATCTTCGCCTGACAAGTTGGCACTGGTCATTCGGGTAGGTTAAACAAAAATGGCCGCCGTTATACACGACGGATACAACGTTCTGCAGCTTCTGATTGGTTAACCTTCTATTGGCGGACTATAAAGGGAGTTAAGTCACTTTGACTGGCTCATTAGTTATATAACATATACACAAAAAACTGTAACATACTACAATTATATTATTGTATATTACTACAATGGACACTACTGTTATCAATGTCCATACATCGTCCTGGGTATTACGGTAAACTAAATCCGACAGCAAGGCCTCTGATCGTGAAATTGTAGTTTCTGAAAAGCGTGAAACCACTTTTAAATTGCTGTTGTTCCTAGGTCTACTTGTTAGGGTTCCAGCTATGGGAAAACAGTGTACTCCTAACAAAAATCGATCTGAAAGAGAAAAAAATATACATATAAAAAATATTTCTAGTTGAAACTACCTACAAAATATTAAGATTTCAGCATTAAATATCCGGTAGATAACAAATTCAACCAACAATAACTATTTATAGTATAATTACCAACAATACATATTTAAATTATAATGACCAACAATACATTTTGTCTGTAGTTGAAAGCATACAATGGCCTTCAAAATATATTTAACTTCAGCCATGAAGTTGTGTTTAAAATATTTAGATTTCGGCATTAAATAACCCGTAAGGAGTTGATATTGTTATAGACAAGCGTATGGTTGCAAGAAAGAAATACGACAACAGCAGAAATAGATTTACGTGGTTTATTTCAACAGGAACGTGTGGGTTTGGGACAGCTACCTTGTGGTAAAGTTCATAAGCCGGCTTCGGATCTAGGTCGATCTCTCATAGTAGTTCACACATGACGGTAGTTGATGCTCTCCTCCTGTCAGCTGCTGACCGCTCGGCCTGGCCACCTGTTGACTGCCCGTTGAACTTCCGTGTGAACATTTTTATAGCGTTTTTTATGGCTTAACAGGCTCGAAAACGAAGCGAGTATAATTAGAAGGGAAGCATTTTTATTGGACGAAAAATAGAACACTTTAAATATTATTTTATTTTTCGACCGGAACACGTGTGTCGGGAATATTTGTGAATGAAGATAATGGTCATTTTGTGACGGGGTTCTGTCCCGTTCACATCCGGCTCTCGCTCTTGAGTATTTGCCTGTAAATCAGCTGAGATATGTCTTATTTTACTTTATAACAATATGACACGAAACGAAATCAACCAAACAGCCAACATGAAAAAAATCTTTCATCACATTAATCCATATCATGTCTATCAGGTCATCCCATAAGTTGTGTCCGAATTTTGAATAAAGAAAACAAGTGACCAAATGTTACATTTACTTACAGATTCAATCAACAATCTATTTTCCCTGATTATCTATGATTTCATTCTATCTATTAACAAGCTTACTAATTCCATTACTGTAAAATTCTTTTGGCTTTAATTCGAAGAACTCACAAATGTCAGTTTTAACCTCTTCCTGTGTTACAAAACTGCTTCTTCCAAATGATTCTGTAAGCTACGAAACAAATGGTAGTCTGAAGGAGCAAGATCGGGCGAATAAGGTGGATGATAAATTTTCTCCCAACCAAGTTCTTCGATCTTTTGTGACGTGATTCTTGCTGTGTGGGGTCGCGCATTGTCCTGATGAAACATCACCTCTTTCGATTCACTAGAGCAGGTCTTTTTTTTCCCTCAAAGCTTGGTTCAAACGCTCTAATTGCTGACAGTATATTTGAGCATTAATTATTGCATTAGGTGGTAAGAATTCAAAGTGGATTATTCCTTGGCGATCCCACCAGATTGAAAGAAGAACCTTTTGCCCATGAAGTTCTCTTCTCGGTTGTGGCTGGGGTCCTTCCCTTTTACCAAGCCACTGTCTACGACGCTTAACATTTCGATAAAAGATCCATTTTTCGTAGCCAGTCACAAATCTATCCAAAAAAGGTGAAACAAGTTGGCGAGAATGGAGTGAAGAGCAGATTTCAACTCAGGATTTGAAGTTGTTTCAGACAATTCATGAGGCACCCATTTTCCAAGTTTAGGAACTTTTCCAAGTTGTTGAAGATGACGATGAACAGTTGTATGGTTTGAACTGAGAACCACTGCCAATTCCTCAACTGATAAAGCAGGATTTTCTTCAAGGGCTGCTTCAAGAAGCTTTTCATCAAACTCAACTGGATGTCCGGTTCGATCTTCATCTTCAAGGGTGAAATCTCCACCTCTGAATTTTGCAAACCATCTTCTGCAAGTTCTTTCATTCACACATTCCTCTCCATAAACTGAGTGAATGTTTCTATCCGCTTCATCTGCAGAGTTTCCTTTCTTGAACTCATAAAGCATTATGTGCCTCAAATGATTTTTGGGTACTTCCATTATAGCAGGGTTTTAGTCAAACAAAGTTTAATTTTATTGTTTTCTGAAATAAAATTTGATTAGTTTAAATGCATCTAAATATAAAAATAATGTTCAACTCCATTAGTCATTATAAAATACTCTTTAAATTTCGTTCATTTTAACAAAAAGTTAAAATTCGGACAGAACTTATGGGATGAACTGATATAAAAGGTAGGATGTGTGTGTGTGTAACGAATGCACGGTCGTAATTTTCGACGGATTTGCACCAAAATTTAAATGCACCTTGGGTCAAATAGTAGGGCAGGGGTGGGTAGAAGATATGAATTTATACCTTTCCCTTGGGTATTTGACCGGAAATAAATAAAACTAACCCAACAAATAAAAATAGCAAAAAAAAAAAAACACATTGCTTGAAGACTTCTCACTAAAACAACTAAAATGTATGGCACATGTGACTAGAAAATTATTGTCTTTTCAGCCTACCTTAAACAATTTGCGAAAGAAACGCCGAAATTCACCAGAAATAGAAACAACGAATCGTTTACTTGATAGCGCTATTTTCCTAAAAGTAAAAGAAATAATTTATAAATTTCAGTCGACAATAACGCTAACAGTGATGTCAATGGATGGCGAATGTTTCCTTATAAGGAAAAGGCTATTCTCACTGTTACTATTAACATATATCTGTTTCGGTGGTATCCGTCATAATCTAGAGACGAATGCAGTTTATTTTTTCTTTAAGTTCGAGATTTTAGTCCAGTTTTTGTTTCAGCAATCGAGCCGCTAAACACTACTTTCCGTGTTTAGTCGTCACGGTGATACGTCGCTTGAATGTCCTCTCAATCCTTCAGGATGAAAAAAAAATATATACGCAAAACAATTCCACCCACCACACCAATTATATTATGCCAGAGAAGGACAGGGGTCGACCGGTGATTGGCGACAGTGTTGTCACAGGAATTTCAAGAACGACATCCAAGTTGAAACTGCCTTTGGGACTTAAGCTTCAGATTTCGTCCTCAGAGTTTATTCTCGAAGACTTGCCATTAATTAGTTATTGCCAAAAGGCAACGAAGGTTAGAGATAAGTTTTTATTCTCTTTGATAATCCTACCCTCTGAGACTGACGACTTCCATTTACACATTACACGTAATTGAAAAAGTAAAAAAAAATAAAAATAAAAATAAAAAAAAACATAAAGAAAACGAATTGAAATTTATGAGAAAGATCAAGAGTGGCAAAATGTATATTCATAAAATGAGAAAGAAAAAAAATCCTGCCACGGAGAATATAAAAAAAAAATTTAATTATTTATGACATTGTTCTGCAAATGTATCACCCAAATTAGGTGAGGATACTGTGTTCTATTTTTGTCAATGACGATCTTCGACATCTTTCATGCATTTTCCCGTCCAAGCAGACGACAAGCTGAAGTTAAAACAGAATGAAAAAATAGGTATATACATCTAGAGATTATTCAAGGAACAGAAACCAATTATGAAATATTAAGATGGCGAGAGGTAAAGAATTTGGATCAGTCCCAACGAACATGTAAAAATCTGGAAGAATTTGAGATTCGATAAAGACCCGAAACTAAAAAATAAAGATATGAAAATCCAGTTCTGTGCCATTGACTGATTGATTAATTTGTTTTCTACGGCTTATCAGTCCATTGCAGATTACTAAAATCTACAAATATGTTAGATTGTATGAATTTTCATGAGATAGTAATGATTTAGTGATATTTACTATTTAACATAGAGCTGGGGATACTTTAGTGATACTTACTATTTAACACATAGCTGGGGAGAAGATTTGGTTTCATACCTTTCTAAAGGGTATTGACGCGTAAGTGAATAATGAACAATTCCGAGCCATATATACCAATCGCTTATTCAAGCGTACAACACCTAGTATTCACAAGTGGTTATCAATCTAGGTACTGACCAGGCTCGACGTTGCTTAACTTCGGTGATCGTACGGGAATTGGTGTTTCAACGTGATCTGGTCGTAAGCCTCAGTGTCATTGGGAAGCGATGCTGACACCTGACCTCCAGAATGTACAGTGGGCGTACACGTGGAACATTTGGTATTTTCCGAAAAAAATGTTTCTCTATTTAGTCTCTATCTAGACAATGTCAGGATTTCAGTTCTGGCATAACTTTGTCCTAATCCCAAGAATTTGTCAAGTTATGATCGTTGAAATGAATAACGAATACACAGCCACCCAGCTTGAACTTCTTAAACATATCACACTATTTACATTATTCGGACTATTGTCCTCATATTTGTTGCCATATTTATCACAAAATTTCGGCCGTTGTACGCTCCGACATTCTTCAGGTGGTTGGAGTGTCGAACTGAACCCTTTATTTCACTCGCTGGGATAGGCTGTTCTAGTTCCACGTGCCATGTCTAACGTATGTCAGTTATCTCCTGTTAATTCTTCTTTCTATGTTCTGCACCGCCTTAACCAGGTATTGAACTCACATTCTTTGGGTCCTGTCACTAGATTTAACTAACGTCTTTATCCACTGTGCCAAGTGTTATTGAGGACATATGTGTATAAATTTCTGATATGGCAACTAAGATGAGGACAATAGTCCAAATAATGTAAATAGTGTACATTTTCGAGCCCTACAACAGAAAATTCAGTCAAATTGACAAATGTTTTTCCAGCTTTATGATTCAAACTCGAATAACTCGAAAAAATATACAGGACAAATCAAGTCACTTTTGTTAATGTACGTTCCAAAATAAAAAAAATATAATTAAGTCTGCCAAATGCAAGATATTTGTACACTAGATCATATGTAAAACGTACAGTTTCTTTCATACATTAAATTAACCATTTCTAGCGTTTGGCACATTATGCTGCGCTCCAAAAAATACCATTCCTTGTAATCATCAGAAAATCATGATATGGACACCGATTCGCGTAAATTGGTGTGCAGAAACCTTTCTAGGTAATGAAAATCCTCCCTCAAAAGAAGTCTGAGTGAGATTAACTGTAAAATGTAAACAAAGTCTAATGTTTTAATTAAAACAGGGCCGTTTTGATTTATTATACGTCTAAATTAAAAACAACATGAATACAGTTTCATAATTGTTTTGAAAATAAATCGTGGTTCTTAAATGCCACAAATGTCGGCCTGGACCTATTGTCTGACCCCACTGTGGAAGAAATACACAAGTTACGAACGATATGAAAATCAATTTGCTGTATTCATATAAAAGCATTTCATATAAGTAAATAAGTGTTTTGACAAAAATTTAAAAGTTTTAAATGAAGATACGATCGGTAAAAAAAATCAGCGGTAACCGGACGACATCAGCAGATGCAGTGAAAGCACTTTAAATGTCGACAGTTCTTTCTTTTGATTTGATTGCCGCTTTCAACTTTAAAGCTTAATTCCGTTTCATTCGTCTTTCGTTGTTTCGTGTTGTTTAATCAAAGTTAGTTTCGCGCCTTTCCCCAATTTTAACACCAGCCTGTATCGACTTTGAATGAACGCTTTGTCATCCTCATGAGTTCAGGTTAGAAAAAAATAACTTGAAATTTTTCATTTCAACCTTTGGAAGTAAAGTCTGATGATCCAGAGCCCTGTTAAAGGGGTTGTGGTGATATAACTTATTACATGGAACCTTAAAGTGGTCTGTTTTATTCAAACATATATATATATATATATATATATATATATATATATATATATATATATATATATATATATATATATATATATATATTAGCAGCATGGCCCGGCGTTACCGTGCTTGATTAAAAATCGTACGACTCACACAGCAGTCGCTATCACTTGACTTGAAATGTTTTTGCCCTTTGCCGTGCTGATGTTGCTACATGCCTTACTTCTTGCCTATCTCACACTGCGAATTGTTTTTCTAAGCTCTATTCTAAACATTAAATCTGTTACGAAAAAAGAACTAAACAAAATGTACACAAAACGATCAGCTTTAAGAAAGGACTCGTAACTGGAAAAAACCGAATGAAAAAAGAATGTTAACAACAAATACTTTTTCACACCCAAACCAGTTCTGCGGAATCAGAATCAACGTTGAGTTTAAGCAAGCGAGTGAGCCAATTGGAGTAAAGTGCCATGCAGATTTAAATTTTTCCCACTTGTGACGAATGCAGATATCGATTTTTTTGTATGCCAGCTGTCAGTCAGCTGTTGGCTCTCACGCTGACCAATAGAATCTTCCTGCCTATTCGTGGCAGCCAGCTATAGGCCCTCCCTGTGGCCAGTAGAAAATGGCCGCAAACTACATGAACACTGCCGCAGAAACATGAAAAAATCGATTATTTCCACTATCGATGGGAGTTGGGAAATACAAAGTCGGTCTTGGCCTTCCTGCTAACTTGGATCATGTGCATGTAAATTTTGGTGCAAATCCGTCGAAAATTGCGGCCGTGCATTCGTTACACACACACACACATCCTGCGTTTTATAGATAGAGAATACTTAAACATTATTTTCATGTATACCCATATTTATAGTAAATTCCCTGCTTATTTATTAAACAGCATATATATATATATATATATATATATATATATATATATATATATACACACACACACACATACATATATATATATATGTGTGTGTGTGCATGAAGATATATAGAAAATAGGAAAGACCTCCTTAAGTAAATAATCGCAACTCTTTAGTATTTTTGTTAATATTTTTCAAAAAACAGTGCTCGATATAAAAAGTAGAACCTAAATATAATTATTTATTTAAAAATATGCATAGGAATCATATTTTGAGATATATATATATATATATATATATATATATATATATATATATATATATATATATATATATACCGGTGAAATAGCAAAATTGTCCAATTGATAGAATTGATAGATTAAGCTCTGTGCCGTTGTATCGTAGAAATGATTAAAGATATCCTACTGGAATTCACCGAGGTTTTTATAACACATTCAACAATAAGAATGTATAATTATTCTCCAAGCTTAACATAAGAATCCTGATGAAAGTGATCATACACGAAAATGACCTTGTTCATCCTTAATTAATAGAGAGCATCAGAATCTCATGAAGTATCGAAATAAAGTTCAAATATATATATATATTCTGGTATCATTGTCCAACTTATTCAAGGTTATCGTCGCCCTCTCTAAACTTCTAACTTTCTTTTCCGGAGTAACAAGGTGCCACAAAAGTTTCAAGTACGGTATCATTTTCACTGATCTTTGGACTGTCATAGCTGAAGCTCCTATCTCACGTGCCAACCGCTTTATGAATTGAGTTGAATGTTTTCTAATTGATCTCTTTAGCTCTAAGTTGAAATAATGATCCATTTTGCGGTTGTGAACTCCAGATTCAGTTTTCATCTCTACTACTTTCATCTCATTTTTAAACTTATTCACCCTTCACTTGATTATCCTTGTACAAACTTTGAAGATGGGAGCCAGTGTATGAATGTTCGTACCATTACCTGAATTATCATTTTCCTCTCACCATTGCTCAGTTGAGAGTACTGTGTTTCTGACCCAAACAATCTTATCCTTTTTAGCTGAATAACTCAAAAGGTAAGTTTTCCTGGATACTTACTGGCTAGAATTTAACTTATTGTTATAATTTGTACGAAAAAAAAAATGATGCATTTCAATATTACTCAATGATCTTGCCGATGTGACCTCCATTTTCTGGCTTTCTCCTTCTATATTTTAGATAGGAGTCTTTCCCTGGTTCAAAGTTAATTTCATTCAAAGTGAAAAAATTCTGTGGGGGTTTGTGTCCTCCAGGATTGAACAAAGGGGGTTCAAAATGAAATATACTTATCTAAGTACCCAGGGTAATGTATTTTCAGAATATAGGACTTTAGTAACAGAGAGAGAGAGAGAGAGAGAGAGAGAGAGATGCTACAACTTAATATATATATATATATATATATATATATATATATATAAGGTACAAATATCTGTTAAAAAGACCGGGGGCGAATAGGAGTGTAAATCGGACGATAGGTGAACCTATCATCTTCTAGTGAGGAAAAATAAATAAATTGTAAATAACGTTTCAGAGTTTTGGTGGTGGCGTTAGAAGTAATAGAATTGAAGTTTACTTTAGAAGCATCCAAAAATCCAATCCTCAACTGGAAACAAGGGAAGAATTTTAAAAATAAAAAGGTGGGGGAAGAATGTGAACCCGACATTAGTCGAACTTATCTTCTCCTGTTGAACTGTAAATAAAAATAAATCTTATTTGTTATGTCTATTAGAAATATGTTTTTAAAGTATTTAAAATAGAATGCCCTTACAAATAATTTAAAAAAAAATAATAATCGCTCTCTCTCTCTCCCTCTCTCGCTTTATACAGAATGCGATAGATAAATTGTCATTTACTAAATTACGCAAAAATGAAACTAACTCTGACATCTCATTTTAATACAGATATTTACCAAAATTACACAAAAGTATCTTTAAGTAGTATAGAGTATATTTATTTAATAAAATCGCTAGAGGCTTCAACCACGGCCTCCAGACGACTTCGGAATCTCCTGCAACTCTCCTTGTTTAATATGAAGAAATCTGACTATCTCTGCCTTCATCTTTGGTGTTACAAGGAGTTTTGTTGGTTTCTTGCTCAACAGCGCTCCACACATAGTAATCAAGAAAGTTGCATCCTGGGGAGTTAGATGACCAGATTTAAAGAGCGACCTGGTCGGAGAAATTGTTTGACAGCCATGGCTGGTTTCTCCTGCTTATGTGGCGTGGTGAAGAGTCCTGTTTCCAGACATAGGGTCGCCCAACTGTCTTCCTGTTGTCCCAAAGGCAATACTACCTCCTTGATGTAGGCCCACGTGTTGACTCTGAGGCCCTGTGCGAAGATGAATGGAGGCATAGCATTGCCATCGCCAGTGACCGGTCCAAACACCATGATCTTGACTGGATATATTATCCAACTCTACACTGTCTTCAGCCATCCAAACACACTGTAATGTTTGTATTGGAGCTTCTGA